TTTTTGTTTGTGTGTGTAGAAAAACCGATATACATACATATATATTTTCATACGCACAAACAAGCAAGAGAATTACAAACACGAAATTGCAGCAAAAGCAGAAACAATAACAAAAAAAAAAAAACTAAAAATGCACAGCAGCAACAGCGGCGGCAATTACCCCAACAACCACACCGGCACCAGCAGCCATAACAACAGAATCAATATCAACAACAGTAATCATTATTATAATCATCAACAACAAAATACAAAATTAGTACGTGTTTATGATCGGTGAGTGTTTCAAAAATCTCTATCTCACTCGCCCAATGCCCGTTATTGAGCGGAACTGTGCCTGTGCGATTTTCTGTTTTTAGTGTTGGTAAACAGCTAAGCTTGATAGCTTTTAATGCAACACATACCGTAGATCGCTCATATTTAGTGATCAGTGTTGCCAACATTTCAAAAAGAAGTTAAAAATTAAATTTATAAGGGGAAAGAGATTTTGTTGTAGTCATTATTGCCACTCGCAACTCTGCACTTATTCGTAATGTATTTGTATGACATGCTCATGAAATAAATATATAAAATTAAAATTAATTAAGCAATTAAACTCCCTCTGCCGCACAAATCGTATACCCTTACATTAAGTATATACGCTTGTCTAGACCATATGTATATGTATGCAAATATACATTTAAATGTATTTAATGAAACTCTTTAAATCAAAATTTCAGTAGTTAATGAAATAAAAGTTGATTAAATTTTTGCTATATATTATATCAAGTATACATTTACATAAGACATACATATATACCATGTATAGGATTTTTTCTTTTACTCATCATGCTCGAAATAAACTGTTCGTATATATGTTTAACATTCTTAATTCGGAAAGAGTATTGCTGGGCCGCTAGATTGTAAATTTATTATTAGCTTTTCTTATTCTCTATTTTGTTTGTGGGTTTATTACTTTGGCTTGCCATATGCCCCACTAATGCTGCAATTGGTAACCGACCCATTTTTATTTCACTTAAGAATTGTCAAAGCAACAAAAAAACGTTAATAATATGAGAGACGCATTTGTGAGACACTGGGAAAGGAAAAGGAACTTCTACAGGGGCAAAGCAAATGCAAGATATATATGCACAAGCACACATACACACACATACATATAAATGGGTTTGTTTGTGTGCGGCTTTTGCCGGGCAATTTGGGTCAAAACGGCAACAATAACAAAATGCAACTGCTGCCTGAAACAAGTTTGAGTATATACAGTAATGCAACGACAAATATATGTATATACATATGTATCTATACATATGTTGACAGAGACTAGCGACAACCAGCCGCAGATAGTGGGAGGGGCGATAGATAAGTAACGCAAAAAAAATAAAGAAAATCGAAAACAGCGAAGGAGAATAAGGCTGCGGTGTGTAGTGTGCTGGAAACAGTAAAAACTAACGGTAGCTTGCGCAGTCAACGTACACAACGAGCAGCGCTGCAAAATGAGCAATAGCGGCGCGAAAGCAACTGGTGGAGTGCACTGGTACTAGCTAAGGCAAACCAACTGACACAAATGCATACAAACATACATGCATACAAACATACATGCATACATACATACATACATAAATATATATATATATATATACCACTATATGCACGCAAGTATGCGTCATGAAGTGCGATGATCTATACATGCATAAGACTATATATGTAAATAAATGTGCAGGCGAATGTAAATATACAAGGAAAAACAAAAACAACAGAGACAGCAGGGCAGAGCAGTGCAGCAGTAGAATGTAACGATGCAACAGATTTCAGACATTTTCATTCATAAAATTCATAAAAACAGCAAAAGGCAAACAACGAAACGTGCTCACACACGCACAGGCATACTCACAAATACTTACACGCACATAGAACTGCATGCACGCATATATATGTATATGTACATATATAGAACATGTACGCACCTTGTTAGAAGTAACTCAAAGCAGAATGATGCAATAATAAATGCCTCTGCGTATAAGTGTGTGTGTGTGTGTAAGTGCGAGCAACGCCTTTATATGTATAATAAGTAATAATACGTATACACACTGATACACATACATGTACATACGCATTTAATGCCAAAATAAACAACCCAATGCAGTCGTAGTGCCAGTGTTGACGTCAACTGCGCTGCCAGCGCATGTATGTATGCGTATGTATGTGTGTCATGTGGATGTAGCATATTGATTGCGAGACGCAAAGGGCCGCGTGCATTGATAACAAAGCACAAGCGCGCGCGCCCGCTCAGGTGTGTGTTTTTGTACGTCTATGCGTGTGTGTGAGAGCTTTTGTGAGAGTGCGAAGCAGAGGTCATTGCTTAGCAGAGGCGCCAGCATGAGCGCCGTCAGTCAGTCACATGTCAAATACAATTATAAACATACAACACTCGCAATGTACCGACTGCGCAATACTCTATTTTTAGCAACTTAAATTCTTACCGTAAAATAATAGTTAAATAGTAAAGCTATAAACATTAAATACAGGTGACAATAAATGACTCTTTCGCATGTGGACCTTATTTTTGATAAACATACATATTCAAATTCACACAGTATTCTTCAAAACTAATATGCTCCTCACCCCATACGGTAGGGTATTTAACTACATTAGCAATTTGCCCTCTCTTTAGTGACAGACATCAAGGGAGAGAGCGTGAGCGTGAGAGAGAGACCGAGACAGGGCGAGAACAAATGAGTAGGTGCAAAGTCCTATTGGTACTGTTCAGAGGCAACGTCAACGAACTGCAGCGATGACATTTACATATTTGAGGCTGTGAATATGGGCGTAATGAGGGCTTGGGTAACTCTTACCTCTTTGACGTATATACAAAAATAACCCGCACATGGTTGTGACATGTGACGCATGCGCAATGCTGCTCAAACTGTGCGCAACTGTTGAACAGTTTAAAAGGCAGCGCCAACAAAAATGCAAGACAAGCCAAAAACGTTCTCAACTCCTCAAGCAAGAGTCGAAAAGGAAATAAAAAGCGGCGGCGGCAGCAAATTATTCGTTGTCGTTTCGACTTCAATTCCTGGAAAAACAAGCAACGAAAAAATAAAGAACTTTAGTATATACAGAGATATACTTGTAGATATATACATAAATATAACTGCATATGTATAAAGGCGCAGACACAAAAACAAATATGGAATGAAGTGCTATAACACCAATAGCAATAGAAAGAGTAAGAACGAACTACAAACTAAGAGAGAGCCACGCAGAGACGTAGACGAACGAGGTACATACATAAGTGGCAATGGAATGCGTCTTATGGTACTGTTGCTGCTGGTGCTGCTGAAGAAGGCGGCCGGTATGTGAAACAGTTGTTGCTGTTGTCGTTTTTGTAGATTGACAAACACAATTCGACGACACATGCACATATACAAGCATGTGCCGCTTGCCTTTTGCATTGCGAATTCGCCTATGTGAATTCGCTCCGCTCTCACTCTGCTCTTACTCCATACGCTAATTCTCTCGCGCGCTCTCTTATTGATCAGAAACGGCGCGCGCTTTCATTCATAAAATAGAGTTGCCACACGCTGCGATTTCGCTGGAATTGTTGAAAGCTTTTTAATTAAAAAAGAAATGACAATGAATATTAATATGCGATATCAGTTCAGATAGTCGACTTGTATAAATACATTTATATGTACTGTATTTATAAAGGCAAATCATGTTTTTTGAACTTGCTCTTTAGATATTTGCCAAAAATCTCTTAATTATGGAATGTGCAGCAAGGGTATTGAAATTTCGACTTCGTCTTTTTTATTTCACTTTTTTTTTGGGTCTTTGTGGCGACGGCGGCTGTGACTGGAGTGAAATTACTTCCAAGAAAAATAAACACGATATTAAATGTGCAACATTCCAGTCGACGGCAGAGAACGATCGAGATTTTTGCAGTGTTGCTGATCTTGTATTGTTGTTGTTGATGTTGCAAAAAGAGAATCGAGTTTTTGCTGTTAGTTAGTATATTGCTTGAGTTGTCTGCCTGCACTTGCGATGCCGTTATGGCAACAGGATGTTATCAGCTTCTCTCTCTCTCTTCCTCTCTCCACATGTTAAGCATGCCTACATACATACATACATACATATATACATACAATTATATATTTGCTATCACTGTGGTTAATTCTCTCTTTTGAATGTTGCTATGTAAAACTGTTTGATATATATTAATTAATATTTATATAAATGGCTTTTGCTGATTGACCACGCCCAAAATTAATTTAGTTAGAGCATTAAAATTGTCGTGAAGCACCAATATATATATATTTCTGTTTTGCTTTCTCTTCAACTCAATCCCTCTTTTTCACTGTCTCTCTCTCCCTCTCTCTCGCTCTCTCTCTCTCTCTCTCTCGCTCTCTCTCTCTCTCTCTCTCTCTCTCGCTCTCTCGCTCGCTCTCCCCCCTCTCTCCCCCCCCCTCTCTCTCTCTGTCCCCCTATTCCTTCTCGCTTTCACACATTTTGTCATTTGAATCTTGCATTTACATTCATCATCGTCACACCGACAGCACACAGCCCCTAACAATGCAAATTTCGAAAATAAAAAATACAAATAAAGCCAAATTTGTTTAATAAATAAATCTCAAATCAAAATCAAAATCAAAATAAATATTAAATATATATAAATCCAGCATAACGAATCCTTGCAGTCTGTCTTATAATATTCACGCTCGCTATCTCGCTCTTTAGATGTTAGTTACGCTGCTGACTCTTTTACTGACAAACTGCTCTCTCCTTTTCATTTCTATTCTATATTTTTTTGCATTCTGTTTTGTTTTCTCTTATTTTTTTTTATAAATGTGTTAAAAAAAATGAAACTCACTTTTTGCTTTAACTGACTCTTTTTTTTTTATAAATGTTTTGTATTTTTCTGTTTTATTTTTTCTTATTTTTCTTTGTTTTCTTTCTTTTTTCGTTTTGTTTTTTGTTTTGTGTGTGTTTTTATGCTATTTTCTTCACAGTGTTACGACATCAAAAATCTTAATAAGCGGCATACCGCTGCAAACACGTTTCGAAGACATCGAACCGCTACTGAAGCCCTATGGCATCGTCAAACAGTGTGAGGCTATTTCTAGTAAGGATCAAAATACTCAAACAGTACATATAACATTCGAAAATCCTGAGCAGGCGCAAAGGTATATACATTCAACAATGCAACAAAAAAATAAAATAAAAATATAAATTAAAAAAACATCTAAAAAAATTCGAAAAATTGATCAAAATTTACTTAACACAAGATTTTTGAGATTTGACAAGTTTTCTTGATGGTTCGAAATCTCGTGTTAAGTTGAGCATTCATACATAACATATATGTAGATATATCTATATATATTGTGTATATATATATAAAATAGATGGAAAATTATCGAAAGCTTGCCGAGATATGCAATCGCTGATTTTTCAGTTATTTATCAATTAGTTTCATCGAAATTCGAACCTATAAATATGCGTATGTATGTATATGTGATGTATATGTATGTATATATGTATATGTATGTATATATTTATATGTATGTATATTTGCTATATATTTCCAATTATAATCTCAGTAGTTCTTACCACCTTTCTACCTATTTTGAGGGGAGGCGGCGAGGAGACTTGGCTGTGACTGGGGGCGTGGGTGGGCTCGGAAGCGGGGGCTGTTGTGTGTGTTATGCTGTGCCTAGGGCGTTTTGTTTGTAGCTACATATGATGTACACGTATACAACATATATATTTATATATATATATATATATATATATATATATATATATATATATATATATATATATATATATATATATATATATACATTTACATATATGTATATACATATATATTTCTGCCTGTTGATCTGGTCCAAATCGTTATCTATATATATATATACACAACACTTATGCATACATACATACGTACATATGTATATTCATCAAAACTGTTCTTTCTACCATTTCTCACACTGATCGAATTTTTCTTGTCTTCTCTTTGTTTTCATTTTGTTTTTTTTTTTTCGATTTTCATTTTTGTTTATTTTTGTTTGCTTTGTTTTCTTTGTCGTGTCTCCTTTAGAGCTGCTGGTGGCCTAAACGGCGTCGAATTCGAGGGCAGTAAACTGCACGCAGAGCAATTGGATAAAAATCAACGCCGGAGCATACGCAATCAGCGCAATCCGTATCCGGGAATGCCGGGACCCGGCCGCCAGGCGGACTTTCCGCTTCGCATACTGGTGCAGAGCGAGATGGTGGGCGCTATCATAGGTAGACAGGGCACCACCATACGCACCATCACACAACAGAGTAGGGCCCGTGTCGATGTGCATCGCAAGGAGAATGTTGGCTCCCTCGAAAAGTCCATTACGATCTATGGCAATCCGGAAAACTGTACCAATGCATGCAAGCGTATATTGGAGGTTATGCAACAGGAGGCACTGTCCACGAATAAGGGGTAAGCACAGTACAGCACGTTGTTTATTATTTATATCATATCCGAAATGTTTCTTGTTGCAGTGAGATCTGTTTGAAGATACTCGCCCATAATAATTTAATTGGTCGCATTATTGGGAAGAGCGGTAACACTATTAAACGCATTATGCAGGATACGGATACGAAGATAACCGTTAGCTCTATTAACGACATCAACAGCTTCAATTTGGAGCGAATCATAACGGTGAAGGGATTAATCGAGAACATGTCACGTGCGGAAAACCAAATCAGCACCAAACTGCGCCAAAGCTATGAGAACGACTTGCAGGCAATGGCGCCTCAGAGCCTTATGTTCCCTGGTCTGCATCCCATGGCAATGATGTCGACACCGGGCAACGGCATGGTCTTCAACACGAGCATGCCGTTCCCCTCGTGTCAAAGCTTTGCCATGTCCAAGACACCGGCCAGCGTGGTGCCCCCGGCCTTCCCCAACGATATGCAGGAGACAACGTTTCTCTATATACCAAACAATGCTGTTGGGGCAATTATTGGTACTAAAGGCTCGCACATACGCAGCATAATGCGCTTCTCAAGCGCATCCCTCAAAATTGCGCCCCTCGACGCCGACAAGCCGCTGGACCAACAAACGGAGCGCAAGGTCACGATTGTTGGCACACCGGAGGGTCAGTGGAAGGCGCAGTACATGATATTTGAAAAGATGCGCGAGGAGGGTTTCATGTGCGGCACCGATGATGTTCGCCTAACCGTTGAGCTACTTGTCGCCAGCTCCCAGGTGTGTAAGCCTATAACAGCAATGAGGTCAATGTTAAATAAAAATTAATTGATCGAGCAGTAGCTTAAGCTTCAGCTTTTTTGGCTAATATATTCATGTTTAATACAAATGTGTTTCCATTCACCCGCCGCTAGGTCGGACGCATCATTGGCAAAGGCGGACAGAACGTGCGTGAGTTGCAACGTGTGACGGGTAGCGTCATTAAGCTGCCAGAGCATGCGCTGGCGCCACCCTCAGGCGGCGATGAAGAGACACCTGTGCACATCATTGGACCATTCTATAGCGTTCAGGTATGTTGACAAGAGATTTGATATTAATCGAGTGAGAATAATACGATATAATTAATCGATTAATCAATTGGTTTACTTTACAGTCTGCACAGCGACGAATTCGTGCCATGATGCTATCGACAAATCCGCCACCAGTGACCAAAAAACAGAAAGCTGCCAAAGAACAACAATTGCAACAACAACAACAGCAACAACAACAGACATTAGCCGGCGCTGCGCCAAGTGGGACTCAACAGCAGCAGCAACAGTCGCCGTCGCAGCAGCAGCAGCCGCTGCCGCCGCAATCGCATCATCAATCGTCGGCGGCGTCGTCGGCGCCACCTGCGCATCATCAGCAGCAGGCGTCGTCGACAGCGTCCTCACATCAATTGCAGCAGCAGCAGCCGTCGCCGCCGCCCGGCAACAATGCATCGGCCGCCACCCAACAACAGCAGCAGCAGCAGCAACAGCAGCTGGCGAGCTCACAGCAGTAAACTGCAGCAGCCGTGTGTGGGACTGGGGCAGGGGCAGGGGGGCAACCGAAATACAACAGCAAAAAAACTTGAACAACAACATCAACAACACCAACATCAAGAATTTACTATAAAGGCAATAGCAACAAGACAACCTACATTCGGATTTGCACAGGCGGTTTTCTTCTAACTTCAAACAGGCAACAAGAAGTGCAACATCAGGAGCAACAATAATAATAACAACTCTCGTCCCTCTGCAGCTCAACAAGAGTAAGAGAATTGATAAGCAGGCAAAAGAGAACATCAGCAACAACAATAGCATTGAAAAAAAACGAAAGAGCAATAGCAGCAGCAACTACAGCAACAGCAGCAGCAGCAGATATGGCCGACAGCTCGCTCTTTCCCTCTCGAACAGTTAGGAAGGAGAGCGAACAGACTATGTGTACAACTAACTATCAATTGCTTGCTTATCTAATAAAACACGAGGTGTTCCTTAAACGGCGCCTAACTGTTAAATGGCAACGCATTGCATTGTTGTTGTTTCTCATGATGTGACTGCTCAAACATTTATCTTTTTTAAATTGTTAATCATTTTTATTGAACAACAACCAGACACACACCCCACACACACACAAGTACACACACATACACACACATACACACACACATACACACACACATACACACATACACACACACACACACACACAATTGAAGAGAGAATTTGAATAATGCCTGAGGCAAAAGAAAATCTTCATTCAGCAACTTTTTACCACAAAGCCCCCCCTCTGCAAATAAATATTTTGCACCACAAAATCAAAGTAAAAACAAACGAATGCAAAAAAGAAAAATCCTAAACAAAAGTAACAAAAAAAGAAATTCAAAAAATAAGCTGCAGCAAATTCATATATATATATATATATATATATATATATATATATATATATAAACACATATATATATATATATATATATATATATAAACACATAAAATTAAACATTTTTATGAATTATTTTATTTTTTTTAATCACTTTTAGTAAGCGTACATTAAGTGAACAAAAACAAAACAAATCGAAACAAAGTGAAAAACAAAAACAACAAAAACAAAAACCAATCATTTGGTTTGTGTGTGTGTTTTATAATTGTTTTCTCTTTAATTTTATTAAGCATATTGCATTTGATTTAACATTTGTAACAGTTAATTGTATACAAATCATATTGAGGACAGAAGCGAAAACGAAAACACTCAAGAAACAGAGAAAGAAAGAAAAACAACAATTAAAAACTGTATTTTATAATTAAATACTAATTATTATATTTCGTATTTGCTAATTGAAAAAGAAACGGAAAAATACCCCAAATTTCAAGCAGGTGTCAACTTTAGCCCACCTTTTAAAACAAAACAAAACAAAACATTAAAAAACCAACAACCTATAAGTAGAACAAAAAACTACAACTGAACTTAAAACCTCACTTAAAACTAACCTAAAAGAAAAGCAAAATGGGAAACCAACTAAAACTAAAATTCTGTAAAAATAAATCAAAACAACAAAAAAATGAAACGTAAAAATGATTGTTATGAAACGTAAAAACCATAAATTATACAACACACAAGTGTTCAGTTCGAGGGTCGAAATAAGAGTTCCATACATACACACACACACACTCAAACACATACATCTATACATATGTATTTTATCTGTACTCTCTATGTATAACACCTAGCCAGCAGATAGCGCCAATCAAGTGTTATACGCGCCAAGTCAAGCCAGCAATGAGACGCAGCACATGTATAAGAAAACTTTGTAGTATAACTTAACTGAAACATATAACAGTACACACACACATAAACACACATAATTATATAGTCCTACGAATATATAGTTTATATTTAAGTTGTGTCTCTCACCTAAATGCCAAGCAAGCAATGTTAGTGTACAGCTGTATAATAGTATTCGAGAATTGAGAATTTGAGATTACAAGCATATATATGAGAAACTGAATTGTTAATATTGTTTGAGCGAAAGAGAGAGAGAGAGAGAGGGGAAGGAAAGAGAGATCGAGTGAGAGAGAGAGCATTGTAATCTGTTTGCCTTGAAACAAAAACAAAAATAACGGTGCTGAAATGTTAATTTTTATATAACGAAAAAAACGAGCAACAAGTGTTACATTAAAGTGTTATATTAAAAGAAAAGTTAAAAAAAGAAACAGGGAGAGACAAAGAGAGAGAGGAACGAAACAAGCTGTTATATAAATCACCACATTTACCTATATAACAGATAGCTAACAATATGCAGCCCCGTGGCAGGCCAATCGCTCATCGATCAGCAGATTTATCGAGATCAATGTACGACGGGTCGAAATGTAGGCCAAATGTGTTTGTTTTCTCATAGTTTTCATAGTTTAAATGTTGGCGATTCGTACATACAACAATGTACATCATGTATCGAACTTGTCATTATTATTTCCCTTAGTTTTTTATTTATTTTTTTTTTTTTTTGTAATTCTAATGAGCGCACAGCAACAACAAACATAAAATAGATCATATATGCATATTTATATATATATATAATATATATATATAGTGTATAACAGTTTATTTTCCATAGCTGCTAAAATCGTAACTGAAGTAACTGAATCGGAGCAACAAACAATCAAACAAAGCCAAGACAATAGCCCAATTTTGTTGAAATAGACATATAAATAGAGAATAACGTGAAACTTTTATTAATATTAACCATTTATATATATTTTTTTTTACATATTTTACAACTTTTTTGTTTGTTAAACATTACATACATACATACATACATACATATGCAAGCATCTATAATTACATAAATACATACATATTCACATAGATTAATGCATATTTTCCTTTTTTGTTTCTTTGTTTTCTTACTGCATTAAGTTAATTATATATACTATATATATATATATATATATATATATATGTATATATGTATATATATATATATATATATATATATATATATATATATATGTATATATATATACATATATCTGTAACAAATAGAAAGTGAACAGCTCGGGCTTTGCGTTACTTTTGCCTGTATAACACTTGCATTTTAGACTGTTATATTCGTGCATTTATAACTGAATAGAACAACATCAAAATTCAACATTTCGGCCAGAATAAAAAAAAAACGTTTCAAAACAGCAAATCTAAACAAGCAAATAAAAAATATTCATTCATATTCGAAAATTCAAGCATTTTTAGGGCAGTTTAGGACAGATTAATCTTTTTTTTTTTATTTTGTTTGTATACATACACTTAACATAAACAAGAAAATATGAAAAACATGCGGAAAAGATCTATTGACGAAGATTGAAAAAGTAATTCAAATACCTCAATGTAAGTGCATTATCTTATATGACAAAACAAAACAAAAAAATACAAAAAAAAAACATAAAAAATAACTAAACAAACTATAAATGTAAAACAAATCAAACAAATGTTAAAAAAAAAAACGGAAAAGCTTAAGAAAAGTGCAACCTAACGAACTATGTAAAGTGTGAGCTAAACAATTGCAGAAGAAACTGAAAAGCAAAAACAAAAACTAAATGAATTAAAAATGAATCATAAAATTATGATAATTTTTAAGCAATGAAAAAGAAACCTGATAAGTTCATACGATATATATAAACAAAGCAAAAACAAAAGAAAAGAGAAAGCGATGAATATAACAGAAAAGGACAACAACAAGAACTACAGTAACAACAATAACAATAACAAAGGCATCTGTAAGGTGGGCGTACGATAGACCATTTCGCCATCAGCCAACACTGCACACAAAAGATATATATGTATATGTGGATTAAATGTGCCAGTGCTGGCCCCTTAAATGAATGCCAAATGGACAGACACAGACCTAAAACTCAGACTCAGAACCAGAACCAGAATCAGAACCAGAACCACCAGAGACCCATTATGGAATAAATCAAGTGAAAATTGTTAAAGTTTTGCTATTTCCTATTGAGAGAAAGAGAAGGAAGAAGAGAAAGAGAAAGAAGAAGAACCTATACAGTCCCATATAACTGAACGTTTTGTATAGCTTGAGCAAAGTTGGGCGGGAAATGGGGATTGGTTGATTATCAAGTGTGTATATAAAAGGAATTTTTTCTAGGCATAACATTAATATTTATAAATATTTATATATACGATATATCTAAATATTTATATATATATATATATAAATATATATATATATATATATATATATATATATATATATATATTATATATATATATATATATATTATATATATATATATATATTGCATTATTTATGTGTATATGTTGAAAACGCGTGAAGGATAAAACTGATAAAAAAAACCTTTTTGTTATAATTGAGAATGTATTTTTTTAATATACAAACATCTAGAAATAATAGACGTAAAAGAGATGATCTAGATATAGAGATATAGATAGATATATATATATATATATAGATATAGCTATATATATGGATATAGAGATATAGATATAATATAGAGATATCTCTCGAGCTTCGCTATCTATTTGTCTCTCTATCCTCTATACTGGCTCTCTGCTCTCTCTCCTCTATCTATCTCGTTACTCTCTCTCTATATCTCTCTATCTAATCTGAATTCTATTACACGTTCGCGACTCCCCTACATTCCATCTAATATATATACTATAATATATATATATATATATAATTTTTTTTTTTTTTTTCGTTGGCGTCTTGAAGTTTGAGTGTAGCGTATAGGAAAAATGTCCAAAGTTGTCAATACAAAGAGCATATACTTATATACTACTATATAGAAAGCCCAAATGAATGACCTATAATGATGATGATGATGATGATGATGATGGAGATGAAGATGGTGGTAAACATATATGAAATTAAATATATGTGAGCAAAGAAAGAAAAAATGAAACAAACAAAAAAAAGCGTAAAACGAATTTTTCTAAAAAATTCCAAAAATGTAAACTAGAATAGAACATGGCAATGTTTTTGAACTTGCATTGTTTTTATTTTGCATAGAATTCCAAATGCTGAAACAAAAAAAGAGAGAGTAAGAGGAATAGGAAAAGCTAGAAAGAGAGTGAGAGAGCAGAATGGTTGAGTTAACTAACTAACTATTGACTATTAATTGCTCTGTTTAAGAAATAAAAGAAAACCAATTGGGAGGGGCTTACCAAGCACTATTACAAATAAAAAAAAAATAATAAAAATAAAAATTAAAATAATAATAAAAATTAAAATAATAATAAAAATTAAAATAATAATAATAATAATAATAATAATAATAATAATTATAAATGATGTGTATGATGCAGCA